GCGGGGGGGGATCTGAGGGGAGGGCCCCCCCCGCCCCCCCGCCCCGGCTCCCCTCCGCTGCAGTGATTCGGTGGTGTTGCTGTGTCGGCTCTTCACCCCCCACTTGCTCTCAGCCAGTTTCTGGGCAGGACATGGCCTGCTGCTCTGGCCATCTTTTGTGTGTTAATGTGCCTTGGTGTACATTTCAGGGCTGCTGCCTGTGTGTGTGTGTGAGTGAGCGAGACCCCTGTTCCCTCTGATAGCACCCTCAGAAGTGATGCGATTACATTGCCTTACTAGCAAACAGTTGGCCTGAACTGCTGGATCCATGTGGTGATTTTGAGATAGCATTGTGCTTATACAGTGGGAAAAGTCTGCATGCTGCTTTTTTTTAAAATCATATCCATATGTGTCTTGCATCACCTGAGGGCAAGTGAATGATGCGGAAGGGTGAAGGCCTGCCAAGGTAGGCAGGTTTGTTCCTATCTCTCTTGCTGGTTGGGAAGCGCTCTTGGCATGACCTAAGCCCAGAAGTGCACCTGGGCTCATTGCTCAGAGACCTAGCAGGGGTTATGTCTATACTGGGCCTGGCTGGGATGGAGTTGATGTTCTTCATCACGGCCTGTACGGTGCTGTCTTTTTGATTTGTGACCAAAACAGTGTTGATAACACACTGATGTTTTGGCTGTTGCTCCACAGTGCTTGCATGGCATCAAGGCCTTCTCTGTTTCGCACGCGTAGGCTGGGGGTGGGTGAGAGGCTGGAAGGGGACACAGCTGGGACAGCTGTGCCAAACAGCCCGAACGGCTGGGTTGTTCCACGTCAGATAACATCATCCTCAGCAGTAAAGCTGGGGGGTGGCAGTGGTCTTTCTAAGGTATCGAGTGGCTGGTGGGAGGTAGTGAGTGACCACCTTTGCATCACTTGTTCTTATTTTTGTTCTTTTCCTTTTTTTCCTTCACTTACTAAACTGTCTTTATCTCACCCCAGGCATTTTTTCTCACGTTTGCTCTTCCAATTCTCCTCCCCCATGCCGCTGGGGAGAAGGGGGGGAAGGTGGGGGAGTGAGCAAGCAGCTGGTTGTTGCTCACTTTCTGGCCAGGAAAAATCACCCAGCATGATGCTACAAGAGAACCCAGGAATTAACAGGCACGTAAAATGGAAAATTGGGGAAGTATCTGTGAGCAAATTGGGGAGTTAAATGCTGATTTATTCTTAAAGAGAAACATAATTAAACTTGTTTCTCTGTAGTCCAGAAGAAACTCTCTTAATGAAATCTCATCTGCTGTTGTGGTCCTGGGTTTGGAAGAACGAACATAGTCTTTCACAGACCAGATGATTAATTTATTAAAGCTGTTTTTCCTTGTTAGGCTAGCCTTGTAGTCAGGTACAAAATTTGCATTATTGAGGGTTGCCTCACCTAACCTACATATCTGTTCAGTACAGTAGTTAGCTATTACATCTCAGTTATTAGTATTACTGTGTTATTAAGTGTGACCTCTTAGGTTTCTGCATCTGCAGGCCTCTAATTCTACTAAGATTCACCTCCGCTTTGTCCACAATGTAGGATTTAGCATTCTACTACTAGATGTGCACAGTTTCTCATGAAAAGCCCAGACACCTTTCCCTGAAAGTGGTTGTCTGCTAAAAAGGAACTGAAAACAATTTGATTTCAGAAAAGCTAGTTGTCCATAGATAAATACATATCTGCCACGTATATATACGATTATATAGAACTGCTTTAAGTTGTGTTAGAAAAGCTAATCAGAGTTGAGGCCATCTAAGGGCTGGTGAAATATTTACAAATATGTAGTTATGTCACTTTACATAAATTTCACAGAATGTTTCCAAATTGGATAAACTACAGCATATTGCCTTGAAAACTCATTTCCACCAAAACCAGGCTACTAGCTGCAGCCGGGCAGAACTCTTATTTTAAGGACAAATGGATTTTTAATGCTTTTGTGTAGTTGTAGTCATCTTGGCAAAACCTGTAATTTGAAGCTTGGATATTATGGGTAGGTGGGCACCCAGCATCTGCGGTTCTAGAACAGTCTTCCTTTCTGCTGTAGGAGTGCGGACAACACTCAAAAGGAAAAGCTTCTGCTTGGGGTGAGGGCCTTGGGGGGAAGAAACAGAGAGGGTGGCTGGCTTGTACAGGTTTTGTCTAGCAGCTGCCAGCGTGTGAGCCGCTGGCAGGGTCTCGGGACTGAGCCGGTAGTGCAGAGCAGTGTCACAGTGCTCTGGGCTGGCCTCTGGGCTGAGAAGGACTGGGCTGGCAGTGCCATGCAGGGGAGCTGCAGAGCGCCACTGGGCAGCGGCACTCTTCAGCAGGAGACTCGGAAGAGTTTGCTGCCCAAGAAATAAAGAGTTCCTCCTAAACGCGCTGCTTGACGCACCAGATGAAGGTTACACACTGCAACACAGCAGCAGAAAGGGTTGCAGATCCAGGGACTGTGTTGTTGCCTTTAGTGAATCCCACCACGCTCCAGGGGATGCACACCTGCTTGCGGGTAGATTCAGATTCTAACCCATAAGAAACTAGATGCTACTTACAAGAAGGTCATGTAGTAGAAGAAACACATTTTTTTCACGGTTACTTACAGCGACTAAAGGGCTACATCACTCTTTTAAACTAGGATGAAAGAGACGTGTTTAAAAAAAGGCACACACTTTGTATGGGGAAATTTTCTTTGTTTTTAATTTACAGCAGAAAGAATATAAAGCATTCAGAAAACATTTTCCATATTTTAAGGGCAATTCAAAACATTTTGCATGGTTCCAGCAGCTGAGTTCTTCAACAGATCCATTGATTCAGTGATGCTTTACATGCACGGTTACAAAAATAAAACTTACAAAAGAGAAGACATCTATACTAGTTTTACATGCAAGTCTTGGGGACCCCCCATTGGGCACCAACTATTGTGTGGAACTGCCATAAGCGTGCAACCAGAGAGGGGGTTCATGTTATATTCTGTATTTCTTTCACACAGTATTACTGCTGTCGAATGTGTTTCGCAAAGGAGCAATTCCATTATCAGAAGACAGAAGATCTGGCTCCTGGCACTTGGGAATTAGAATTTTCCCGGAAAGCTGCACTTACTCATCTTCCGTGAAAATGTAAGTTCCACAACCAAGAAAAGGGTGAGCAGAATCACTTCACTGCAGGGGGAGTCTTTCTTAACTCCCCAGTGATACACTGAAGGGTTATGGCCCGACACAACAAAGCACTTAGAAGCTGTACTTAGCTTAAAGCATGCAAGTAGTTCTGTTGCGCCCGTGGAATTGCTTGCATGTTTAACAGCAAGTACATGCTTAAACGTTTGGCTGAAGCAGGATCTAGATTAGTAGATACACCACCAGGCCCATGGATCTGGAAGAGTAATTTGAAATAGCTCTGTATATTACTGAATAATTTTCTGTAAAGACAGGGAGTTAAAACATTTCCACTGAGGTCACTACTCTTGTTAGGAAAAGGTCAATTCTATATTGTTATGTATTGGTTAATGGGAGCAATGTTTCAGTTTCGAAATGTCAGAGTTCTTCCAGTATTAATACAGAGCATTTCCCATTCATTCCAAAGGAGATTCTTCGGCGTCTCCTGTTCCATTTTTGTGTGAGAGGAAAATTTAACAGCTAAGGTCCCAATTCCATACAGTAAATCGAGGCTATGAGGCTGCCCACAGGCACAGCGTGAGCGCCAGGCCATTCATGTTTCTTTTTTTCCCTTTTTTTAAAATTGAATCAGGTCATAAAGCAGCAGTTCAGAAATGTACAAGAGAATTCTGATAATGAGCTATAGCACATCTACTGTAATTCAATGCTGGCAGTGAAAAGAAGTAATTAAAAACAGGTACAATTATAGAAAAGGCACCAAGAGCACTGACCCCAGTTTTTTTGCCACAATCTTTTGCTTTTACTCTTCTTTTAAAGACACCAGTTTAAAAGCTTCTTCTGTGTGAATATTTTTAGGCTTCACAACAAGCCTTGCGTTTAAACATTGCAGTTGGTGGCCGGGATCAAGCAAGAACAACTATTCCAAAACTAACAATCTCAAATTTACACCAGTCCATTCAGAAATTTTAAACTGCCACAAGCAAAACAAACACACAGGAACAGTTTCTGATCTCAGACACATGTACGTAACTCACAGTAACGACATGAACTTCAGGAGTTTCTTCCTTTACATTCCTGTGTAATAAAGATCAGAACCTGGTTCCCAATGTCGAGAATTTGTGACGGTTTTAAATTAGCAGTTCAATTTAAAAAAATCTAATTTCTTTGGCTCCTCACTATGTGGAAATAGCAATATACCATGACACCCCTACAAGATCAGTTTGCATCTTTTTTTAAGTTTTACTTAATTTTTTAAATTTTTTGTGCAATTTTTATTACATTTTCTGACTTCCAGCAGGAGATATGAAAATGTGAAACATATTTTTCTACTTTCGTACTATTTTTTTTTTTTTCATTTTATGTTCATTCTAAGTGTTCTTTATTGGAGTGAGTGTATGGTGTTAAGCTAGATACGGTTTTTGTACTCTTATGATTATCTGCTTTGCAAAAGTAACTTAATTTTCTTAAGCAATATTAGCATTCACATTACTTGGCACCATTGGCAAAAAAAAAAAAAAAAAAGACTGGGGAAAAAAAGGAAGGAAGGAATAAATAAATTAAATCCAACCAAACCAAACTCCTGGTAGCCAAAATCAAATGTAAACATATCCTTTTTTTTTCTTTTTTTTTTTTTTTAAAGTAATGTTGCTCTGCCTTTTTTTCCTAAGTCTAAATACAGTAGCTCTTTTTTGCCATTTAGTCATGCTTTAGCAAAAATGTTCTTCTAAAGAACATTTAAAATAAAGTTTCTTATAGTGAAATAAAGTTTTTGTTTCATTTTACAGACCATAGCCACTAATGCTTTGCTTTGTTCATTTCTTTTTCTTGAGTTCATGCACATATCTCTTTGTTTTAATATATACAATATGTACAAACAATACATCCACACTCTTCTCGTTCATTCAGACAAAACTATACAAATAATAATTTTATCTTGCCAAGTTATTGACCCTTTGTGAATAAAATATTTAGTAATTAATCAATATATTCCCTTTCAAATATTTTTTTCTCATTTTCCATTTCTACCTTCTATATATACAGAAACTGCCCAGATTTTGATGAAGTAGCCAAAATAAGAAATTTACTGGCCAGAATGCAGCACCACTCTGATCTTTAGGTGGTATAAAATGTCCAGGCAACATATGTATGTGACTCTGCAAAATGACAAGAGGTTTGACAAGTACTTAAGATAAAAAGCTACGTGTCTTACAAATTATTTTAAGAACTTAATGAAAATAATCATACATGAAAGTAAGGCTAGAAAATAAAGTGCTGAATATGAGAGAAAGTACATGACAGTTGGTATGTTTGCAGGTTCTAGTAAAAATACCAAAAAAACTTTTTAAAACTTGCTTAAGCTGCTTTCTCCGATCCTCATGTGTTACCCGTTTATCTCATACACCAACCCCTTCTGTAAGTTCCCACGGGATGTATTAAAAACCTGCAGATTTAAAAAAGTTGCATTAAGTGTGCTGTAGAGATTTAAATAAAACACAAAGGACAGAAGTGCGAAGGAAATGAGGATGCATGGACCCAATAAAGATGTACTGATCTAAGCCCCTCCACCGAGACTCTCAAAGCTTCAGTTTCTTGGAGATGACTGACAGGTGCAGGAACAGCATTCTTGTGTTGCTTGTGCATTCCCACCTTTTCTTAACAATATTTTTGGTATAATATTTGTACAGTTCCACATGTTGTTTAATACAGCCCTATATGAAAAGGATAATTAATCGCTTCTTCCTTCTCGGAGAATGAAGCAACTCACAATTTCCTCCTGGTGTCTTTTGTTTTCCCCATGATCCAACAGAAGATTGAGTTCCAAGATGTCTTGCTGAACAAATTAAAAGTTGTCCATGAAAGTGCAAATGCAATGACCAAAACATTACTGTTAAAATCCTGCAGCTGGTATTTCCAGA